AACCATTCGAATTCCGTAGGCGGGAATTATTTGAATGATATTCTAATGGGACGCTTTGTGACATCACAAAACCCCGGAAAACAACGCTGTAGTCCAAATGAGCCGTTCGTTGTAGTTCTTGAAAAATTATTTTTTTAAAAACGAAATATCTCCCTTTGGAGTGGACTTTGAGATTTGTAACTTTGTAGATATTTTTTATGCCCAAACACACTACACACTGACTAAAATTCAAAAAGTGAAAAAGCATAATAGGATTAGCCTCTAATGTTGATTAGCCCCATAAAACTACTGTGTTTTTATTTGGGGAGTCATTTGTTTATGTGTGGATATATTCATACATTCATTATATTCATTAAAAGCTTACATTTTGCCATGATGATAAGCCGAGGGTGAAGCCGCCTTTCCACCATCTCCGACAAACGACAAGCGATAGACCGGAAGTCATTAATTTCCAATGGAGAGTAGTGCAGGAGCTGCGTGGAGTTCCGATCATATGCAAATGCGGAAATTCGGATCCGATTTGAGCTTCGGATGCGTTAAAATATTTGAACTTCTGCGGCTAGACCGTATGCGACCGCCCGACCGGATGTGATGTATTCTACTCAAAACTGTGAGCACGAGGTCCGAATTACCAATATTTTTCCACTTTAACGTTATTCTGAAAGCACTATTTCTGTAAAATGTCGCTTTAGAATAATTATGACAGAAATAATTCTGTGCGACTACCACTAGGAGGAGAAATTCAACAATCGTATCCAAATGTTGGAGACGGTGGAAAGGCGGCTTGACGGTTGCTTCACGACCAGTTTGAAAGTTCTGTGCGACTGCCGCTAGGGGGAGAAATACGACAATCGCATCCAAATGTCGGAGACAGTGGAAAAGCGACTTTTACCTTTTATATTTTCTGTAGGCATATCTTATTTTTGTTTGTTTGTTTAGTTTTGTTTTGCATATTTTTATTTTGGAAATAAGTAGTGTCATGATCCATGAACCTTTATAGACATCAAGAGTAGGGACATACTGTAGAGACACAGACAAAGACACAGACTTTGTACTTGTCTAATGAAAGGTTGCAGAGATATTAATGTTAAAAGTGAGGTCTTTAATGTTCTTCCATTACAGTGCTGTTGTTTTTATTAGGTGAATCCCAAAACAAGATGCTGTTTACGTTTTAATTTCACTGCAACCATTTTCAGCCACTAGAGGGAGGGAGAGCATCACAGTACAGGGTCAGATTCACAGTGGGCGCTGGAAAGACTTATTAATGTATGAATGCTTCAATGACCATTTCTCTTTCTAAAAACGATTTTAACAACACTGGTGTATTAATAACGTTTTGAAAAACAACACTAAGATGATAAAACCATCATTGTAAGTTTAACTATAGTTCAATGCATGTTAGTTAAATAGTTCTATTGCACTTTAGATATTATTGGACATTGCAACAGTGCCTGCCCACTTTTTCAGAAACCTTCATTCCGCAAGTAATTTTCCCATAAGGATTTTTTAGTTAAAAGCCATGAACCAAACCAACCAGCTATGAGATTAATCAAAACATTACAAACTTTGATTGGAGTGGGGGTACAAGGCTGTGTACTTCATTTTAATGACGAAAAATAAATACAACCCCAATTAGCTATGTTAATGACAATCAAAATAAAAACAATAGAGAAATATAAAACTATTAATTTAAAGATGTTGATTCTATGTCATTTACATGCATTTCATATTATGCATAAAAATATAAAATATTATAAAGTAGATTTTTAGTTCCAATCATATGTATATGCAGAATTTTCAAACACTATTTGAGTTTTGGCCACGTTGAAATATTTTTCAGCCAGGCTGAATGTGATGTGTTACAATCAAATCATGAGATTCCAATGAAACATTTTTCTTTGAACTTCTGTAAAATGGGCTGTTTTGAATAATTGTCTGTAATAATTTCATAATTGTTAAATAAATATTTACATTGATTAGCCCTATAAAACATACTGCATTTATTTATTTATTTATTTTTTGTGGATATATTCACATTCATTATTTATTAATTTTACCAATGAATTTAAGTGGAGAGTAGCTTCACTACCAATTTGAATGTCCCATGCAACTGCCACTAGGGTGCGGAATGAGACAATCTACAGTAATGGTAATGTAGGAGCTAGTGAAAAGGTGGCTTTACTTCTCTCTCTCTCACTCTCTCACTCTCTCACTCACTCACTCACTCACACACACACACACACACACACACACACACCAGAGCAAGAGGATGTTTATCATGTACAACAGTAACACTAAAGTACTTTAGCATGCTGTTGGAAAAGGGGTAAGAACCGTCCTCATGTTCCTGATCTGCAAAGGGGCCAGAAATGTGTAAATAGTATAAATATGATTGATGTTCTACTTGATAAGACAGAAGAACATGTTTTCATTTCTTGTATAAAAGAGTCTGACCAATGATGAAGCAAATAACTATTTGGTTGCTGCAATTATTTTGACGTTTTATTGATTAATGATTTCTTATTGGGTCTCAGAAACGCAGCTGAGGAAATTAATTTGGCAGGTTTCTTAATTTATTCCTCTCCCCATGTACAGTCTCTGAGATTATTTAGTGTTCAGCAGGCAAGCTATTCTCAGTTTGTTCAATTCATGTTTGCCTTCGCTGACTTCGGTATCTTGAACCTCTGTGGAAAAAGTTAGATTAATTATAAACGGCACATTTCGACAGCTGCGCCCAGTTTATTTTGGAAAATTTTGTGAACCTGGGATGGGTTTCTTTGAACCTAACCCCTGTTATGAAAGGCACTTTAGGACACATTGTAAAGACAAATCACAATAAATGGCTCTGAAAAGGCTATGAGGGAAGGAAACGCAACCCTATTTTGATGATAAATGGCAAGGAATAGGCAAGAACCCAGTGCTCTGGTTTGATTGCTGTAGAGTTACCGAAACACGCAAATACGATGCTTGGAAGTATGATAACATTTGTATATTTAGCAGATGTATTAAAAAAAGATGCCATGACACTGCTTAAAAAGCTCCACTAGTGATAAATAAGTTGGGCCTTGTTTAGAAAGGTGTTTGCCAGAAGGTCTTACAGTTCACATAGTTTGACTTCAGTTTGAATCATAGAGAATCTGTACAGATGCCTGAAAATTAGTTTTATTTTACAGATGCTCCTTCTGTATAATGTGTTATTAAGGGAGGAATGATAGAATCTCCCCAGATTCAGGTTCATAGAAGAGCTGTTACACCCAAGCCTCATGTTGCATTAAAACTAGAAAGATCCCATTATACTGTATTTAGTGAAGCTGTCTTCTAAAAGATCAGATAGTTAACTGATGACGATTTCCTTTTTTTTTTTTTGTCTTTTTTTTTTTA